TAAAATTGACCGGGAATCGAACCCAGCCACCTCCAGGATGATCTTTCTTTGTAGCTACACCTTTGCCGACTGAGCTAAGGGAGGCCCTTAAAATTAACCATTTAGTCAAGGCTATTTTTCACACAGATGGCGCTGTTCCGTTGGTAGTAATTAAAATCTCCATAGTATAGAGCAGCAAATTTGCTACCGCGAAGGCTTGCACGCATACCGCGCCAGTTGGCAATCAAATCGATCACTCAGGCAGAATACCGTAGCTAGAACAACTGCTCGAAAGCTGTATGACAATAACCTGCTGACCAAGTCCGGTAGGTGCATTTTTTTCCTCTGTTCGGGACCTAACTCCACTGCGACCAGTTATTTGATCTATTGTAGTATATCCCGTGTCCTTAGTTTAGTGCATGTCGTATTACTCTATCACTATTGAGAAATGATGATGTATTCGATTTTTTTTACAGTTGTCATTCTCGCATTTATCGCAAGGATCCGATTCTAATTGAAAGGTCCCGCTATTTATACCCTTAGGAGTGTTGAAACACCCTCCAAAGGCGCGCCCCTTTGTCAGTCAAAATTGGATTCCTTAGCAACAAAATTAAGGAATGACACCGGTTATGACCATGCATCAGAACCCTAGTCTTAACCACTTCAAGCTAGGGAACAACGAATGGAAGATTAGGAATCACATAGATGAAGACTAACTAACTCATTTTTTGCTTGTTTCAAGATCATCCTGGCAAAGCCGAGTCTTGTCGCTATCAACAAGGCATAAAAAGTAACAAGGACTAAGATGTGTTCCTTGGATTACTGAAAAATCCTGTTCCCCTAGTTTAAAGTAGTCATGACTAGGAATCGGTGGTAGATCTTACATCCCGTAACGTATCACGAAAAGGTAAAAGGTGATCTACCCATGTTACGGGGCCCGGTAGGTGCATACTTATGGATGATGAAACCTATGTAAAGAATGACTTCGGACAGCTTCCAGGATCAAAATTTTACAAGGAGAAGGCTCGAGGAGGTGTCCCTGGCAGATTCAAATTTGTTTTTTGTATGAATTCGGACGCAAATATATGATCTGGCATGGAATTTGCAGCTGCGGCCAGATGAACTCGGAGGTTTACGAAGCCTTACGAAGCCGAATGACTAGCAGAAGCTAATTCTGCCCTTCATCCAGTCACACGATCAGAGTGTCCATTCAAATCCAATTTTTCAATTGCCGGTTTTTTCTCGATAATTAAAAAAAAAACACTCAAACATCGCCTTAAACAGAAAGGACGTTAAAAATAACTGTTTATAGGTAATCATACATCTTTACAGCACAAGATATACGATGATTCGATTTGATGATAGATTGGGTAAACCTTCGTGAAACCCCATTATAGAATGTGTTTTGTTTAGTACGCTTTCCAAAATGCCTGGAGTGCAGATATTTTTTTTTTGTCACTTTAACACTCTTGGATCATTCGTGACTTATCCGGGTGAGATTTGAACTCATGACTTTGGTGTAAGAGGTATGGATTCAGATCTTTATGTCTACGATGTCCTGACTCCTGACTATACTTGTGTGCCTGGTTAGCAAAAAATGCAGAAATGAATTTTTAATTTATCTCTGGACCAATCATCTCATGATTTTTTTTTGAGTGCAGTTTCGAACCCCTTCGGATACGGTTGTGTTTTATGTTTTCTCTCTGTCTTGTGCGTGCGTTCGCTTTTATAGTTTTCGGCTGCATTTGCCTGATAAGCGCTGGCACTCTGCCTCCCGGACCGTTATACCTTTGTGATTGTTGATTTTCTCGCTTTCCGGGAAGTTTTAGAATCGAGAAAGAAACGGTGATTCATCATGTTTGCAAGCATCAGATGAGATGTCGCTACCTGCGTTGTTTGATTTTTTCTTCTGGACCAGAAGTTTGTGGCATCGCGGGGGATAATTTTTAATTTCAGTTTATTTACGCGCTGTAAGGTACGGTCGGTGTTGATGTTGGTTCACTCGCAACTATTTTTCCAAAAAAAATGAGTATTTTCGACCGAAATTGATACCGAAAGTGTACCAAAAGTGCTTCTGAACGTGGTTCTCAGTTTGGTGTGGTGAAATTCGTGCATTCCCGGTTGATTTTGTGCGAGTTTGAACACGGTCCGGTTGGTAAATTAGCCGGGGAGAGTGCTGATAATGTGTTCGCCGCGAGTTTTGGTTGTGATTCGGTGGCCGACGTTGCCATGAATCAGTGGGTTTACGGCTTGCAAAAGTGCTCGTCTGCTCGCCAGTGTCGGAGATTGTGAGCAAGCTGAAGGATGCCTCGCTGGATACGCCCAAGACTGGATGGCTGGTGACCATGTACGGTCCCTGGAGAAAGCACAAGACGCGAACCTCCTCCCAGATGACCATGGCAATGCAAAAAAATATGTTTTCGTTGAAGGAAATATTACAAGAAAGGTAATTGCTATTAGATATTTTTGCAAACAGTGACAGATAGCAGACATGAAGCTTAAGAGGAGGTGTTATATCCTAGACAAATGGTAAGTTACATATTCGCTGTTGTCGTCGTCGTAATCGTCGTCGTAGTCACCGTAGGCAGTACCGTTAGTATATTCAAAATTAACCATCAGCCGCTGAAACTATATGAATTATCGAGTATTTCTGTTGTTCATTACATACCAAGTGAAATTCGAGAACGTAATTTCATTTGAATAACTTGTTTAACCACGGCTTCAACAATTGTGACGTCGGTCATAGCTTGCTATGACTGCCTGAACAATGCGTAAAGAGCAAATCGAAACATTGAACGTCGCGTGAAAGTGGAACTTAATGAAGACCTAAGTACTCTTTCGTAGCTTTTAGTTTTCGGATTTGAAAGATCGTCGATTGCAGTGGCTTGCTTACTGAGCAGAAAAACGCGGTCCCAGGTCCTTTCATATTAAAAATGTATGGTAAGATTGCTTGTTTATCGTGTATTTTGTAAAACTTTCTTTGTTGTCGGTGCCGGGTTTGAATAGTTATAACAACTTGAGTAACGGTATAATGTGATATGAGGGGCTCTGTGGCCTTAGAGCAACCGTTTTTGCCTATTGAGCAGAACATCATGAGTCTAATCTCAAGCCCATCCACATTTAAGATTCGTCAATCGTTATATTTGTTAAAAAGCTTTCCATGCTCGGTAATGGCGGCCTGTTTGTGTGAATAAATGTATCCTTCCCTGTTGTTTTTGACACTATCTGGAAGTTCAGATTTTGACCCTTCCCTTTTCCTCTCCCAGGAACAGAAGAAAATGGAACAACATACGCCCTCCAGTTAGTGTCAAAAAGCACAATGAAGGATACATTTATTCATAGAAACTGGTCGCCATTACCAAGCATGGAAAGCTGATTAGGGATCGTGAGCAAAATGACAGATTAATTTTATGAAGCATTCCAAGAGAATTATGATGATAATTCAACAAGAAACAGAGTTCTAAGAGTGTTCTGGCGATAATTTCAACCTAGTGCGGAAGATAATTCAGAGCAGAATTCCAAGTTAATTTTGGAATTCATTACATGAGAATTTTAAATATAGACGATACACTATGGAGGGGCAGAAACGAAAGCAAGTAGCAAGGCAATTACCTTTCTAGCGATACTAAATAACCTTGGAGTTACTTTGCTAATAGTTGTCCAAAATTGATTTGAGTAACAGCATGTTTTTGTGGAAAAATGCGCATTTTTTCATCACTTTTTTTACTTTGACAATCGATATCTCACGCCAAAAAACCTATAGGGCATGAAGGTGAGCAGAGTTCTTGAGTTAGTGATAATCTTGTTTCAAGCATGTCATGTAATGTTGATTATATCAAAATAAATCCGAAAATTTGGAGGCGCGTTGCGTATTCAAGAGATGAACTAGTCTGCGGCTGAAAATTCTGCACTTCGTATGTTAAAGAGAAACTCAATTTTTCAGTAATACTAGTACGAATAGACAGGGCAAGATTGCCCTAATGTCGCGGATTACACTTGTATGACAAACTATGAACAAGACAAATATTTGTATAATAAATTATGAGCACATCTATGGTCACATTTGTATAGTTTTTGTATAGTTGTTGAGTAGTACTCATAATTATTATACAAATAATGCTCATACTGATAGTTTGTCATCCAAGTGTATCCGCGGCATAAGAATGGCATCATTTTTATAGGCAATCATTGCAATTAATACATTGAAACTTTTTCTACCATAGTTCTGTCATGTCCGTTCTAGCAATTGTTCTCAAAACATACTAAAATTTATATAACAAAGAAAACATTGTAAAATATAGTACTTAAGGCAACAATTGTAAAACAGTCTACACTGATTGACTACAAATAAATAATAATACTTACGCATTTATACAATTCAATATATTACATTTGGAATGTTTAAAAAATAAATTAAAAAAGTAACTCTTTCACACTGTTTTCAGACACTCCAGGGCAAGACGTTCATACATATTTGTTTTATTGATATTTTTTAGTTTTAATGATATTTCTTAATTTTTAATTAGTTTATCAGAACAATATACCACACAAGGGTAAAACAATAATTGATAGTTACAACCAACAAAACTGGAATAGATTTATTAATTTTCGTGAGGTTGTTTTTGGGTTGTTAAATTTCCATAGTTATTGAACATTTCTAAATAATTATTGGATCGTTGCACCCTAGAATCGACGTTGAAAGGTATACTTATGTGCAGCTTCTAAAAATATAAGATTTTTGAGGTAAAGTTAAAGGGTACTAATCTTGCCCGGTTACCCTTATATCAAAAAACTTGTTAGACCCGTGATAGAAACTAATATTCTATTCATTTTATTTATTATTATTATTTACTAATAAAACATAGTTTTGACCCAGCAAACAATATTTGCAAATTGACACCCTGCGTGCAAATAATACCCTTTCCTTCGCCCGCCACATGGCCACACAACATTCTTGTTCTCTTAGCCATCTCATACCTATAATATACTTTCATAATAAGCAAAGCATCATCCACACTTACCTCTAAACATTTCCGACAGAAGGTATGCTGACAGGGTAGCACCTTGGAGGACGTATCCAGCCGTTCCAAACATACGGAACACTCCAGCAGATCGTTCAGCAATCGCTCATCCATTTTGTTATCCTATTTTTTTTTTCGTTATCCCAATCGCAGAGGTAGAGGCAATCTTCACACTTGACACACTGGATTTTCTCTTCTGGATTTTGCTTCCCACAAAATATTGCACAATATATATCTCAAGATTTCACCTCGTCGTCGTATCACTACTATTCTTGCTTCTTTGCTGGGGCATTCCCGAGGTACCCTTCGATGGGAGCCAACAACTCTTTCCTCACCCCGTACACCAATTACCCCCACACACACGCGTACACACCACCCGGAAAACCTGTTGTAGCACCAGATTCTGGCTTCTTTCACTTCCTTTTCACATCCATTATCTGGCGATAGCCTCAGGAATGAAAGAGCACTAATTTATCAGCCAATCTTACAAAATTCGGGGCTACATTTTACAAGGCTTCCTATACTCCTTTGCACCGTGCTCGTGCTGCTATGACGGGAATGTCCTTCCCTCTCCTTGCTTTTGTCACCCCCGCTCAGCGCAGCATGCACCCTTCTCCTTCACCACGGCACACTCGTCGATGCTGCTGGTAAACTCCTTTCTCTTGCATATTTTTCCTTCGGATTTTGCACCACACTAGATTTGGCCCCGACCAACCACACAAGAAAAGTAAAAAGAACACTCTTCTTCTGACCCCCGGATGTTGAAGGGGACTACACTGACTTGACTGGTTTTCACACGGGCTGCAGCAGCTTCTGACCCCACCAGAGCACTCCCGATTTCGACCCGAACGATACGAGAAGCTGATAATTATCGATAGAAATTTGTATATAATTACGGGTAGATTTTCATTAATGGAATTTCAGAATCGACGTACAGGTATGGTGGATGTGTAGATGTAATAAAAAAAATCGCTCTGAACGAATATCCAACGTATGAACAGTGAGAGAAGAAAAGTCGCACTACTAACAACCGACGAAGACGAGGGAAAAGGTTTCGATCTCGCCTGGCCGAGGAGGCATTCTTGACTAGCTGCTCCTACCCAGACTCTGACCGAAGAACTGTTAAGTCTGAACTGGTGTGGGTGTCAAGATTGGAGATGTAAGATAAACATAAATATATGTACATACTTCCATCATGGGCATGACATTGTGTAGGGTACATCTACTTTGCTCTGCGGCTTCGCTGGAGTGCAGCACCATCAGCAGCATTTTGCGGTAGTGTTGGTGTCGTGTGTTCACCTGTCAGATTTGAATGGATGAATGAAAGAATCATGAATGAATCGAACGAACTGACTTTGAGAATGGAATTTCAGGGCAGAACTTGGGGCCGAATCTCGGACCGAATTCTAGTAGTTCCATTTTGAATGTTCATTGTCACACTCAATATCCCAGTTTCTCAACTCGGTGATTATTTTTGCAAGTTGTTTAATATACCTTAATCACAGAAAAACAGACATAACACTCGCAAGTTGTTCATAGAACAAGCATTTAACAGTCAATTTAAAAGTATCGTAGTTGGTAGTACCGCCACCTGTGGCGCGCATAGTCAATTCCCTTGCGTTTGACGTTTACACACTACCGCCATCTGTTCAGCGTACTACCCACCACAGTGTATTCAACAGATGGCGGTAATGTTTTTGCGACGATGTTTTACAGTGAGAAATATTCAATGTGTTATGTCTGTTTGTCTGTGCCTTAATTATTACCGCAATTTCTGATGGCACAGTATCATCAGAAATTGCGGTAATAATTACCGAGATCCGTTAAACCATTTACCGATTTCAAATTATTTTTATTATTTTCAGTAACTACCCGAAAAAAAAATTACAGTGAAATTTTCAGTGGAAACAATGCTCTAACATTAATATTTATTGTCGACAATAAAAATGATTGTTATAATGTTGTACTCTTCCGAAAACGGCAAAACTGCTACCTAGATGTACAATGAATGTACATAATAAAATGTTGTTACAATGATTTTTATCGTATTTTCATTTATTTTATTGTTAACATGATTCGATCATGAACAATAATGAACAACTCTATTACAATAAAAATTGTTGTTACATTAAATATTGGTGTATTTTCATTGTGGGTTACTTCACGAACAATAAAAATAAATCTGATTGAAGCATGCAGACTATGAGAGGGTCAGCAACACTGCCAATGTAATTAAGATAGGCGCTGCTCGTATGGCTCTGGCTTTGACAGTTCGTTTGGCTCAAAACCAGGCAGTCCGCGTCCGCTCATATCTTATCCTAGACCCTCTCTAAAGCTTAATGGAGACCTTGTCCGTGCAGTCAATAATCATACAATAATAATAAAAAATTCCACCACTTGAAGATCTCAGGAAGGAACTCTCAGGTGGAAGCATATTTCATGGGTGATTCTCTCCAGTCGAATGCATTAACTTATCAACGACGCTCAACCACCAAGGAGACGTGACCTAGGGATATCGAGCGCAGGGGAGTTGGCCTGCATTTCTCACAAGTTCCGGATCGAATCTCGATCCATAACCAGTAAAAAAGGACCACCCGTAACAGACATACCACCCCCTTCCCTTCCCGGGGCAAAGTTTTATTTTTTCGATTTATTTTTAAAGTCGATAAAGTAGATCTGGCAAGCCAACACAAACACTATAAAGTACACTGTTATTTTTTTAATAAATAAATTCGCCAACCAACAGTAAAATAACAATAATATATAATGTTATTGAAAAAAAAATTATATGGGAAAATCACGAAAATTTCATTGTTAAGATACTTAACAACCCCCCTTTTTTATTGTAAATTTTCCATTTACCATGAAATTTATTGTTTTGTACAACATAAATCAAGGTAAATTTATTGTAGACGTAACAATATAAATCATTGTTAAGACAATAATTTTCGTCTTATTGTTACATTGTTTTTTAATGTATTTTTGTTGTTATTTTTTTTTCGGGTAATGAAACTGCCCATGCCTTGAATCTGAAGACCCCACCTAAAGGCGAAGTTGGTGAAAACAGAAACCCAGGGTCATCGTTGAGAAAAGGCATTTTGGATGGTCAGGAATCTGGCAAGACTGCCGAAATAAATTAAACTAAACAACGTAGGCTCAGTTCCGGAAGAAACTTCGATGCTTTTACTTAGTTGATATCAATAAACTTGCGTGTTTTCAATACTTGAAGTTTATTTCCAATCCTACTATACTCACACTATTTGTTATCTTCTAACTGACCCTCTGCAGTGTCAGTCTTTTCCTTCTCCTACTTAGGCTCTGAACCATTTGGTGGATTATTTTAACTTTTGGTTAAAATTTGACAGATGGAAAGTTATCGATTAACCCTGCTATCCGAGCGTGGTTATTTCTGACAGACAAGAAGTTAAATTTTGACGACCGTGGCTCGAAAACCGGTCGATCGACAGCACGGGGATTTTCGAACATAAGAAATAACTTTCGAAATGTCACTTTTAACTACAAGTTAAATTTAACTCGGCAAATGGTTCACAGCCTTAGTCGTCCTTATTCCACCTCCGACCGAAGCACCCCTTGATCTTGTCCATCAGTTTTGGCTTGGCCGGCTCCTTGCTCTGGGACGAGTACAGTCTGAGGAAATTGTCGACAAGAAATTCTCCTCTCCCCTCCACAATTGGAAGCAGCACATCGAAACCAACATTAGCATTCCAGGTGTCCTGGTTAATGTACCGGCACATTAAGACCATGTTCTGAGCTCCGTATGTCATAATTAGATGCAGCAGTTGCGAGTTGAACAATTTTAAGCAATTCCTAGGCAGTCTCACCACCGACAAACCGACATGACACTTACTTCTTACTTATGCCCGAAAATTGTAAACGGCCGATTTGAAATGTGCAGTGATCCGACCTGTCGAAACCATAGGAGTTTTTGATCAGGATAAAAATAATTTGTCCAGAATAGATCAGACACGCACCAATTCATATCTTTTGCATGCAGGCTCATAGCTTAGCTAAATATTTCCGGCGAACACGGAGCCAGATGTCAGTAGTGTGCTTTGTTTAGAAATTTTATTGTTTTTGCTATGGTCATTCTTGTCGGTTTGTCGGTGCCCTCACCTCGTCCAGCGTGTCGTGACGGCTTCTTCTCGACGTTAACCTAGGGGCACGCAATAACCTTTAACTCCAACGCAGGCAACGGCTGTAATTAAATTAATTCCATTAACTACTGCTTTAATTACATTAATTACACAATGTAGAACATTAACTACTTTTTAACTCCATTAATTACAGTTGAAATTTCGTAATTAAAGTACATTAATTACATTTTCAATACTTTTAATTACAATAATTACGGATAGATAATTTTAATTACTGTCAGTACTACTTCAAAACGCATTAATTACTTTAAGTACTTTTGATTGCATTTTAACTTCAACGCACCGGTTCTTTGTATTGCGTGCCCCTCGACGTTAACCAACCATTGAATAAGAACACGCTTTGTCTGGAAATCAAACAGACAGTATTTAACTATTATTCATATTTAGGCTCAAGTTTCAATTTTATCGACCACAAACCCTCGCACAAACCTCAGGACAAACCATGACGTCACGAATGAACTCAGTGTTAATAGACTGAACCTTTTTGACAGTTCAGTGGTACCATAGAGGTAACTCTAAGACCACTGGGTCCCGAAGAAAATCATTATTATTTTTGGCTCACTCAGTACCAGAACAACGGTCCCATGCAGTCCCAAGCTATTTCACTCACCCCTGCATGTTCTGCATGAATCCACACACCCCTGATGTTATCTGTCAAACTTTCATAGCGAATCAAAACAAACATAGTGTAGTAATAGAATTTCAACTAGAATAGGGTACGTTAATCGTTTGCTTGGGACCAATAGGCTACTAAGGTGGCGAGCCATTTTAAAATCGTTAGTTTCGTATTGATTGTTGGTAGTTCTTTCGCTGGTCATTTCGCAGGATCTGGTAGTGGCCGATGAGATCAAGAGCTGGACGAAGCGACACTGGAGCTAGTGAACACTGAACATTCGTTGTTACCAACTCGGTTACCAAGGAGTTTTCCGGGAGATTACCTATCATTCGTGTACGAAAGATATGACGGTGAAGGACTGATGCCGGATGTGATTGCATCCTGATCAAGTGACGGTGATAATGCAAATGTGCACGATTGGTGATTTAACCTAATCTCGCACATTTATTTGTTTCATCGCGCATTCGAAAATAATAATAATAAATAGAAAATCACACTAAACTTTAGATACGTTTAAAATAAACTTGAAAATAATGTATAAAATAGACATATTTATATTTGATTACAAAGCTGTCAAAGCTAGTGTCAAAGCAAACAAAAATATTCATGTTTATTTTCAACACGAATATTTTTAGAATAAACGTTACATGATTTTTATTTAAAACAATGATATCATATAACTTTAAACATAAAATACGTTTGAAATCAATCTAATTTATTTTTGTGGCTAAAACAAACTGAGTTAACGTTTATATTTACCTGAAATATTTTTATTTCAATAATATTTGTTTCTGCGTGGATGCAAGATTTAAATATAAACAAAGCTATTTTCAATGGGAAGTATCTTTCAGTTCTACTATGAACTGTCAAAACTTCACAGCTATTTTTTTTAGATGATGGAAGCTGTTTCATGGAAAGCCTTATTGGTCTTAACAACAAGTTTTAATGTATTTTATTGATTTTATTGCATATTGTAGCAATTCCTAATAAAATTTGTATGGTTATTTTGCTTAACGACGTATTCTAAATCATTTGTGGAATATTTCTATAATTTGGGTTATCGTTTAGGTATGTGATTTAGGTACGTTTGTGATTTTTAAATGAGGGTAGACTTTGTGAAAACCGAAAATGAACATGTATCAAAATTATAAAAGATTTTGGACATTAATAACTCAGCTGCCCCTGGACCAATTTCAATAATTGTATCACCAATCGATCAGAAATATTTCTACGCATCAAAAACAATGCTTCCGACTGATGATTTTCAACAAGAAACTATTGAAAAAGTGCTAATGTCAAGCATTGTGCAATGTACAAATAAAAAAGTGATAATTTTATCAATTGCTTCATGAAATAAACGTTCTTCCCAAGCCCAGTCGTCATAATCGAGTACCACTTGGAGGCACATCATTCTGCTTCAACCTGAAAAGACATAAAAGAGCGCTGATGTCTAGCCTCAACTCATTTTCGCTACGGACGGCGTGGTGAGCAGACAGCATAAGCAGCAATAGCAGCAGTAGGAAAGTGGTGACAGGCTAGGTAGTTGGTTATATTTATTAAGGAGACTTTCAGCCGAACGCTGGTTCGTCTCCGGCTATGGTTAGTTAGTTCACTCTACTACCCAAAAAGTAACAATGACTGGTTGTGGCAAAGGAGGAAAAGGTCTTGGCGCCAAGCGTCGTCGGTTCTTCGTGATAACCGCTACCCGTCGTCTGGCTCGCCGTGGCGGTGTCAAACATATCTCCGGTCTGATATACGAGGCAACACGAGGAGTGCTGAAGGTGTTCCTGGAAAATGTGATCCGTGAAGATGTCACCTACTCTGAAAACGCCAAGCGTAATTGGCCGTGGATGTCGTCTACGCTTTGAAGCGACAGACGCACTCTGTACGGTTTTGGAGGTTAAATCATCACAAACTTTGGCAACAAAACGGCTTTTTTTAGGGTCAACAAGCTTATTACAGTAAAGAGTTGCAATAGAATTTATCTGTGCCTGTTTGTTCATAGAACCACATGCCCACAACGACCACACAAAATGCTCTCCAGAGTTGTAATCTTGTATATAAACTTGGAAGCAAGGGTGCAAATGATTTTGATCGATTCTCTTCATGAACTTTCTCTTTGAAAAAAATACTACAAATTTGGTACGCTTACAAATCAAAAACGAAAAGAGTTAAGATAGATAGATGATCGATCAATTAAAAGAACTAAGTGCTCTTCACATTTATTCCGTCCACTTGCGGTCCTACGACAAGCTTTCGTTCGTGCCCCTAAGCACAGACCCTTCAACTTTTTTTTTATTAGGGATAGCCCAAATAAAAAATTACCATAAACGAACGATAACCCAAATGATGGAACTATTCCACAAATGGTTTGGATGATACCCAGAACACGTCGTTAAGCAAATTAACCATAACATTTTTATTAGGGAGGTTCTAATGTTTTTGAATGATAAATTTTTATTTGAGATCCTTTTCTGTGTTACGTAATATTTCAACGGACATTTTCACTGATTTTTCAATTTTTCCGTTTTGCGCCAGTGTAGATAAATGTCATCAATGAATAACAATGAATCGAATGAACGTTTTCGGTTGTAAACAACGATCGAAGCACAACAGTTTCGTTACGGATTTTAATTTTTATTGTGAATAGTAAATGTTATAACATTTTTTGTGAATTTTTCGTGAAAACAACTATTGCCTGTTTGTTTTACAGTAAATTTCATGCAAGAGCATAATTTACCCAACTCATCAGCATGGAAGGCAACTTGGTTTGCCGATTGTGTTTGTACAACAATGAAGATATCGTGTCTATATTTGGTGATAGCCAGCAAGAGGCAAAACTTCAGGAGAAACTTTTACAATACTTGAATTTAGATGTACGTATAGCATCAATCGTAAGCACTATCCAATCGTTATTCTAATGGCCTAACCATTGATTGCAGGTAAAGGAAGACGACACCCTGCCGAAACTGATCTGCATGAAATGCTTCCAGACGGTGGAAAACTTCCATGTATTCTACCAAGAGGTAGCGCAGAATCAAACCGTATTTGCCTACAGTTCGCAACCGGGAATGATTGTGATCAGTGACCAGAATTCGCACACCACCTACATTCTGCGGGAGGAAGAAATTGTCCAGCAATCTTGCATTGAGATTGACGATGGCCTGCAGCAGTACGGTGGGCCGTCGTCATCTTCTGCCGGATCCAGTGGTGGGCAGCAGAAGGTAACGTTGGTTCAACTGCCGAACCAGGTGACGGCAACCGTGTTGAGCACGGTTGATTCGTCTGGTGCAATAATGCTCTCGACTGGTAGTGAGAGCAGTTCGATAAGCGTCATAAATTCAGAACTTCCAACGTACGATGAAGCACAAAAATGCAAAGAGCAACAGCAAGCTGTCTCGGCAATCGAAGAAGATTTGGATTTGAAAATTGTGGTAGATATCGACGAAACGGAAGAGGAGGAAAGACTTGATGATGAGTTAGATGTTCAACAAAGCCTTCAATCGGTTCAAGATGACGAAGAGCATAGATTCAATCTATCGCCAGAGCAAACTTCGATCGAAGAAATTTTAAAGGAAGGAAATGATGACGTTGACGAAGACGAAGATGATATCGATGACGATGATGACGACGATGAAGAATTTGAAGAAGATAATGGGGCCGACATGATTACCGATGAAATCCACGAGCCTTCTGTAGTAGATTTTAAAGTATTTCCACAAAAATTGATTCAGTCGAATCGCTTGATCGTTCGAGGCAAGGATCTTTCGATGTTGATTGCAAGTTTCTACGACTTGATCTGTGATCTGTGTAGCGAAAGTAAGGAGGACGGTGGCGATAAGTTTCCAACACTGGAATCGTATTTGACCCACTTCAAGGATGTGCATGGCATCAAGGGTTACGTATGGTGCTGCAACCAGAGGATCGTCAAGTCACGGATGATGGCCATGCACATGGCCAGGCACCTACAGCCGGAGGCATTCAAGTAAGTTAGATGCGGTTGATAGTGGGAGGCAATCATCAATTATTTTTGATCTACTATTATTCTTTATTAAATATAGTAAACTTACAAACTGAGTCCCAAACTTGGCTTAAAATGGACGAAAACCACTGAACTTCGTTTAGCATTTTGAAACCCTTTCATTTGATAGCTATGGGCTGTTTTCAAGGTAGTGATCAGAAAGTAGTGGATTCCCATAGGTATGGTAAATTTAACTACACAATCATTTTTGTTCAGTACAAGATTACTCTACTTCTTGACCTTCAACTGCTTTACGGGAATAGTTTCACAATTTCTGAAGAGTAGATCGGAACACTGCTATTGGCTAGTATCTTTACCGAGCCTTTTCAACGGCCTGTTTAATACGCTAGTGATAGTAATTGTCATTTAATTAGTGAACGCTATCTTGTTATGAATAATTATTTTGAATATTAGTGAAATTTCAGGTAATTTGTGTGTTTAGTATCTAATCTCCGTGTTCCTCATTTCCCAGATGTCCCGAGTGTGGCAAGTCGATGACCACTCCGAAAATCCTCCAGTACCACATCCAGAACCATCGCCCGGAAGAGGAACGACCACTCAAGTGTAACCTTTGCCCGCGACGCTTCAGCTACGGCAGTGCCCTGGTATCACACAGTCAATCGCACCTGCCGGAAATGGAGCGAACCAGATACGTTTGTGACGAATGTGGTAAATCGTACAGCTCGGCGAAGAACCTTGCCGAGCACATAGCGGCGAGGCACTCCAAAACGGAACCCCTGGCCTATGTGTGCCACATCTGTGCAAAACGGTTCACCTCCAAGAGCAACCTTACCTATCATCTCACCACGCATCAGCCGAAAATTCACCAGGTGCAGTGCGACCAGTGCAAAAAGTGGCTCAAGAACAAGCTCTGCCTCCGGAAGCACATGGTTCAGCATTCGATGGTGCGGCACAAGTGTACTCTGTGCGACTATTCGGCGCTGAATTTGCAGTGCCTTAAGAACCACATGAGAGTGCAGCACACGGATTTGAAACCATTCGCCTGTGATGTCTGTGGGAAGTCGTTCAAGTTGAAGAACACCCTGCTAAACCATCAGGTACAGCATACGGGGGTGAAGAAGTTTAGCTGTGAGTTTTGCGCGCGAACATTTGCATCGAGCGGGAACTACTATGCGCACAGGAAGCGGATGCACCCGCAGGAGTTGGCCGTACAGAAAAAGCGAAAAGAGGACGAAGAGAAGTAAGCGTTTCTTGATTTGAAGTTTTGGGGATTGTTTTAATATAGCTGGTATTTGCTTACAGTGAATTTCGGAAGAAGACGCTCTTGGCTGAGTCAAAATGAATGCATCGCACCTTCGGCGGTTCACATAAGAGGTACTTTTATAACACTTCTATAACTTATTCCGTACGAAAAGTTTTTTTTTTTGGCATTAGCTCGGTACAGACTAAATTAGCTTCAGGAGATTTTTATTGTCGATAAACCTCCAGTTACTGCATAGTAGTATGTTACATTACATTACATTAGTTGAAGTGAACAGAAAAGAACTCCCTCCCTATTTGGTACTCAAGCGATCAAGAATCTGGTCTACTTGTCGTCGAACTTGCCACCGTAGAATGGGATGTACGCAACGATTATCTTCCAATCGGTGAAGTAGCATCCGACCAGAGCGGCGGCTCCTCCGAATCCCATGGCGGAAGAGATCCTGCAATGAAGGAGAATAATTAGTACGGTTTCGGTTTCGTTTTTCTCTGTTGCTAATGTGACGATATCGCTTCATGCTTATTTTGAAGCGACGCAATTCATGAATCCAGTCAATTGATTTGCATAGTGATATACTATTTTTTCCTTGCAGCATAATTCTTAAACTGACAGCTTTTCGTTGATCTTATAATATGCTAAAAATTACCAATTGCCTCGAACTATTGAATAAGCATCTGGTTCTAGCTTAGGTACTCTACACGCTGCAGGACTTTCAGAAATTGTTTCAAGAAGTTGCTTAGACAATGCGTAGTAATACAGGATACAGCATTACATTCAGAAAACTACATGTAGTATTTTCTAGTCAAATTACCTACATAATTCGGTCTATTTTACGACTAAAATCACGAAAAATGATTTTCCATTATATAACCCACAAACATCACCACCCATGGAGGGCACGGAATCCATATCACTTGTACGGATCTCGAAGTACTCACCATTTGGTGGCCTGTTCGGCTTGTTTCGGGCCCAGTGGAATTTTCATTTTGGTTTAAACTGCACAAAACCTTGACGCGGTCACGGGAAATCGAACCGAAATCCAAACGGGAGCTCGAAGGAAAACGATCTGGAACACAGAACTTTTCTGCTGAAAACGTCAGACAGAGTAACGTCAAAATGGAATCAATGATGACAGCTGTATTTTATCGCTCTTGATGATGATGATGATTTATTATTTGAAAGCGGAGCGTTGAAAATAAAGCGACGACTTATTCGCTACGCGCGGGGTTTTGTTTCGATTTAAATATTATCGCGCTTATGTTTATTTCACCCATTTCACCCAACTATAGGTACTAAAGTGTGGGAAGCCAAAAGTAAGTAAAGTCCCATGTACTCAATTAATCATGTTTTGTTGTTTTTGACATCATCCACATCAAGAGGGCCAGTCACTTTCGAATGTATGGGAATGGTAGGAAACCATTTGGAAATGCATGAAAATTTTCAGTTTTTATTCATTATCGTTTTTATGAGGAGTTAGATGCACAAAAATTGCACGAGTACATTATTATGGTGATAAGGCAAAAACTCGTTAATTTTTTTCCTTCTGTGAAAGCGGTCACAAATCGCGGATTTTCTGATATTCTCCATACTGCAAAAATGATTTTCCTACCAATGAAGGGGCGACATCTCTCGGATCTTCTATAGCTACTATTGTGTGTGGCAGGATTATTTCTCAAAAAGGGAGTATACCATCTGCTTTCTGATTATGGCCGTACGACTGCGCCCATTGATTAACACACGACGGCTATTTATCCAGGATTCGCTTCTTAAGCCGCTGCCATAAAATACTATCTAAGTTACACACCTGTGTATAATCCTTATGGGCGGGGTTGCATCGCGCTTATGAGTGGCGCGCTTCTACCGTAACCAAATAAGAATTTAACATAAGCGCGACAATACCCCCTCAAACTAACTATATCATCTGATAGAGCAAATTATCTCTTAGATGCTGGTGGCGGTTTGCCGAATTGAGTCTATATTCATGAAAAATCAACGTTTATTGGCAAATCAAAGTTGGCACTCGTGGAGAATAGAAGAACTATGAGAGTGATGATGTTTTCAAAATTTTACACGGTGAGGTATTGGCAAATCAAAGTTGCCACTCGTGGAGAATAGACGAACTATGAAAGTGATGATGGTTTCAAAATTTTCCACGGACAGGTATACGAGTGCAATCTTAAAATGCTTTTATTTTGAAAACTGAGCATTGAATTTAAATCTGGTTGTTGCTACAGTTGTAGAAAAGCTGAAATCTATGCATACACCTAAAAATCTGAAAATAAATTATTTTTTTCTATATTATATATCTATTGAGTAGTCCTTAAGTTTTCTACTAACGTAGCACTAACCAGATTTAAATAAAATGCTCCATTTGCAAAATAAAGGCATTTTAAGATTGAACTCGTATACCTCACCGTGTAAAATTTTGAAACCATCATCACTTTCATAGTTCATCTATTCTCCACGAGTGCCAACTTTGATTTGCCAATACGAGTGCAATCTTTAAATGCTTTTATTTTGCAAATGGAGTATTTTATTTAAATCTGGTTAATGCTACTCTAGTAGAAAACTTAAGGACTACCAAATAGACATATAATATAGAAAAAATAATTTCTTTTCAGATTTTTATGTGAAGACATAGATTTCAGCTTTTCTACAAGTATAGCAGCAACCAGATTTAAATAAAATGCTCCATTTGCAAAATAAAAGCATTTTAAGATTGCACTCGTATACCTCCCCGTTGGAAAATTTTGAAACCATCATCACTTTCATAGTTATTCTATTCTCCACGAATGCCAACTTGGATTTGCCAATAGTCATTGTTTACATTTGGTAAATAGGCATTTTTTAAATGTTTCTCTAGTTATTGTCGCGCTTATGTTAAATTCTCGCGTCACTTTTCAAATAGACCAATGTAACAAATGTAAACAAATCGAGTTAAGCGATACAAACTATTGCTCTTCTATCATTGTATGTTAGCGTTAGCGTTAGCGTTAGCGTTGTTATGATATACTTCGTAGATTGGATACTAGCGACACTCACGTCTCTTCTGAAATTCTCAGTTAGACTACTTTCAGGAATAATGCTGAGGAGTAAACATTGGTTCCAATCTAAACAAGAGTGACAGAAGCATGACTGGCGCTATTCCCGGCCACGCCCATCTTTACCATAACTAGGGATAGGGAAGGAAATGTTGATGTAGTACTTACTTAACGAGAGGCCACCGACTTAGCGACACCCTCATAAGTGCTACGGAGTTGGAGGGTTGGGTAGGGTATTCGGTTAGGATTCACCTCAAGTTGGCGATGCAACCAAAAGTATGTATTGTTTATTTGTTGTTTATTTAATCTCTCGATAGCCGGCTATCGAAAGAACATATTAATTTTTAGTTATAATGAATTTTAAGAGTCATGACGGAGAGCTTGGAATTAAATCCATGATTTTCTGCTCAGTAAGCAAAATCGATCCCTCGAGGGTCATCGAGCATTTTATAATCCACAGCGCTTTGAATAACTATTATTTACGATAATTACATGAAATAAATAAAATATAAACTACAAACAAAACGTGACTGCTAAAATCTCAAAAAGATATTCTCATAAATATATTTCACGCCACCAGGAATCTCAAAACCATTAGACGTTATAATGATACTCTGCACATGTTAGACACAAGAAGAGGCCAAAAAGCAAGCGTCCGACACACAAAATCCGTCAGTCACAATCAACGATTCTACGAATCGTGAGCGCTCACGAATCATAAAACCGCTGACTGCGACACTCTGAAAGCGAAATTGACAGGCTCTACGCGTCAAACACCCGCCCTCCAATCTCCTCCCGCATCCAACAATACAAATCTCCATTACAACATCTAACGAATTCAAAACTTCGAAAATCACTCATCTATAACAAGTGAGTGGAAGCAACCCTGCATGCAACCATTCTTCATAATACACTTTTTCTGCATATCTTTCTATTAGGCCTGTGGACATGCGTTAGCTTCGAAACTTCTAACCAAACTGGGAAAATTTTCAGATCACAAAAAAAAACTTGAAAAAAACTTTCAAAGGTAATTACAAGTATTTATTTTACATTTATTTTATTGATTATTTTACGCAAAAACGAGCAAGTAATATTAAATCTCTTGTATCATATGCTAATGCAAACTGACTGTAACAAAAATAATATGCTTAAATAAAATAAAATATTAATAAAATTATATGCAAAATTTACTAGAAGATCATTACTTTATTGGTGAGAAGTTTTTAATAAGCCCTCCCAGTTCCTCTGTATACAGAACAAATCTGATACTATAATCAGAATTGCTCAGTCTGCATGAAGCAGCCGATTGCATCAAGGAAGTTCTATTAACAACCAAGAATCAATCGTTTGAGGCATACTGAAGCATTAAGAAGGTGATATGTGTCACTATAGGAAATCATCATCTTTGCAAATATAAAGAAATTAAACATAACCCTTTGCTTCAGTACCGTCAACCTCCATGTCCATGGGGAGGGTATTGCTCTTCTATCATTGTATGTGATACAAAAACATCCATCCAAATATACTTTCATTTGTTCAAGATAATCATACGTAAAAAATTGTCCAATGTACAGTTTGAAATGATGGGTACACGTTTGTTACTTCGGTCATTCGGACTGCCTAACATGATTGGTGCTCAATTTCTAAAGGCGGGGCCAACCTAAAGTTAGATACTCTACTCTGAAATCTGTGAAAGGGAATCTAGTATCATGTAGACAAAACGTCCAATGTAACACTCATTGATTATGTCATTGAGAAAAATCGTCCAATGTAACATCCCGAAAAAAAAATTACAGTGAAATTTTCAGTGGAAACAATGCTCTAACATTAATATTTATTGTCGACAATAAAAATAATTGTTATAATGTTGCATTGTTCAGAAAACGGCAAAACTGCTACCTAGATGTACAATGAATGTACATAATAAAATGTTGTTACAATGATTTTTATCGTATTTTTCATTTATTTTATTGTTAACATGATTCGATCATGAACAATAATGAACAACTCTATTGCAATAAAAATTGTTGTTACATTAAATATTGGTGTATTTTCATTGTGGGTTACTTCACGAACAATAAAAATAAATCTGATTGAAGCATGCAGACTATGAGAGGGTCAGCAACACTGCCAATGTAATCAAGATAGGCGCTGCTCGTATGGCTCTGGCTTTGACAGTTCGTTTGGCTCAAAACCAGGCAGTCCGCGTCCACTCATATCTTATCCTAGACCCTCTCTAAAGCTTAATGGAGACCTTTTCCGTGCAGTCAATAATCATACAATAATAATAAAAAATTCCACCACTTGAAGATGTCAGGAAGGAACTCTCAGGTGGAAGCATATTTCATGGGTGATTCTCTCCAGTCGAATGCATTAACTTATCAATGACGCTCAACCACCAAGGAGACGTGACCTAGGGATATCGAGCGCAGGGGAGTTGGCCTGTATTTCTCACAAGTTCCGGATCGAATCTCGATCCATAACCAGTAAAAAAAGGACCACCCGTAACAGACATACCACCCCCTTCCCTTCCCGGGGCAATGTTTTATTTTTTCGATTTATTGTTAAAGTCGATAAAGTAGATCTGTCAAGCCAACACATACACTCTAAAGTACACTGTTATTTTTTTTAATCAATAAATTCGCCAACCAACAGTAAAATAACAATAATATATAATGTTATTAAAAAAAATATATATGGGAAAATCACGAAAATTTCATTGTTAAGATACTTAACAACCCCCCTTTTTTATTGTAAATTTTCCATTTACCATGAAATTTACTGTTTTGTACAACATAAATCAAGGTAAATTTATTGTAGACGTAACAATATAAATCATTGTTAAGACAATAATTTTCGTCTTATTGTTACATTGTTTTTTAATGTATTTTTGTTGTTATTTTTTTTCGGGATGTCCAAAGTACAACGCGACTTGTCAAAACGTCCTATGTGGTTTTTTCTTTGTTGTCGCATGACATTCAAAGTTAAATTGTGATTTTATCGTTTCTACTGAATTTTCAATGTTATTATTCACTGACTCCATTAAAA